GGATTCGCCTGGGAGAGCGCAGTGGATGACGATGTGTTGAGAAACATCGGCACGAGTGTCTTGGCGTAGCCTTACGATACACACCGACTTGTACAGCTTACCACGATATGCGATTTATGGCACTGAATGCCACGACATGCCCCGACAGCGCTGGATGCTGACGAAATGGCGAAGAAGAAGATTCCGACAGAAGGTCGGAACCATAAGACAATCATGGCGATTCGAAGCTCGGCCTTGTCTCTGGGCATTACCGAGACAAGGGTTTTCGACCGTGTCTGTTTTTGTCTTTATGATGCTTGTAGCGGCGGCCTCTCAGAAACCTTGCCTGCATCTTCCCGGGAGTGTTGCCTGCCCCATTCCAAATGAAGAGGAGATCGACGAAGACGGAGATGGGACTTATATGTCTATGGTGCGGATTCGGATCACATAAACGTTGCACACATAGACCGTAGATTAATGGTCTCCGAGAGCATATAGCGCAAGTGATTTAAAGCTTCAATAGAGTTCTAGTTTGAAGTCAACAGGTTACAGAGGCTGCGCTGAGTCTGAGCACACTTTTTCCACAGGCTTGATCAGTGCTCGCCCGGCCAGAATCCCCAGTCCTCAGACTAAACCATGAACATCTATCCCTAAACACACCAAAAAGTCCTGAATCCTAAACCCACTTTCTGCACGAGCTTTGGGTGTGTGTCGGCGAGCTGGAATCCGAAGGTCTTCTCATTGCACCGCATTTGAATTTAGGTGTCAGGCTCAGGATCTATGCAACGAGCCATGCGCAAACGCTGCCCATGTCGTCTTAATCCTAAACTCCTAAACTTAAGTCAGCATTTGCTGTTTGAATAAAGCCACAAACCTGATTCTCTGTAGGATGCTGGGATCACAAGCCTAATTACACCTTATACGGCTCTATCCCCAAACAGGCGGAAGGCCCTAAATTAAACCTCTCGGCACAGGCCTCCGGAGCGGGCTCCGACATCAAAGACTCGAGGCGACTCGCCTCCTGCTTCCAGGAGACCTCGGAACTGGGGGGTTCAGGGTTTCGGCGCTCACACTCGGGCAATGTTTAGGGTTTATAGTGTGGCCCGAAGGGTTTATTATGAGGGGAAGTTGAGCGATTAGGGATGCAGACAAGGTTGAGGCATTGGTGGGCGTGCCTTGAGGTGCCTTGAATATAATCAGCTACCGTGTTTCGGGCAGCGCCTAGTACGATCTATGCATTAGTTACTTTTTTTGAACAGGGGCTGCGGTGCGCATTGCCCTGGGGTTGCTCCTTGCCGTTAGTTACCAAACCCTCAATCCTCGTCAGCACCTTAAGCTATCAGCGAATCTCCCGTCACGGTGAAGCCGACGGCAAGGCACATATTCAATCTGCAGCTCGATGACGCGTGTGAAGAAGGGATCGCGCTTCCTGTGCTGCTTGGACAAGCGTCTCTGTAGACGCCCAGAGCTTGGGAATTCGAGCTTCGGGTTTGCACGGCATAGAATGAACAGATCGAGTGCTTTCTGTTTTCCTCGTGCATCGGTTGGTCTGGCCAGCTAGGCGGGAAACAGAAGGTGACTATGGCAAGGAGTAATGTACAGACGCTGCACTGACAAGTGTCAGGCTCCTAGCCACTCTAGCCAGCTCTCGGCTAGGGGCTTGCAGCGGCGCAGCGACCAAGCAGCTGAAACCCACATTATTATAAGTACATTATAGTATACTACACTCTACCATTAATTATATGATGGTGTAAATATTTACTCTGGCAGACGGGAAACCCCGCCATGTAGCCCAAGCTCAGGAGCAGCCATTGTTGAACTGTGCGTCTCCGTTCTCCTTGTCGTAGTTTGCACCGTTGCCTGGCTCGAGCTTCTGGTAAATGCGCCAATTCTTGGCTCCACTTTTCGAGCAGCGCCGGCGCCGGCGTCCGCCGTCGTAGCCACGGACGAAAACCTGGGTTCTTGGCAAGGGATTGAGTTTAAGTTACCATAACAAGGAAACCGCAGTGTTTACAATAGATCCCTGATTTATGGCAGTTCAAAATACTTTCCTTAAGAAGAACCCAGAAACCTTCTGAGCCATCCGGCGTCTGCCTTGCTCCAGCGTCTCGCCAGCGCCAGAGCCTGGGCTCTGGTTAAGGGATATGTAAATTTAAGTTACCATTGTAACGAAGCCATATTAGATTTCCTATAGACTCCTTTCATGGTAACCTAAATGAACTCCTTTAACTATAGACGGACCCCTCGTATGGTAACTTAATAGAAATCCTGTAGCAAGAACCCAGGAGCTTTGAAGGCAAACCTGTCCGTATGGACCGGTGACGTCGTGGAGGAAGATCTTGAACCTTTCAGTGTCTGTCTTTGAGATGCCGATGGATGTGGCAGACGAGCTCTCGGTGGTGAAGTACATGTGCTGGTCGTGCAACTGCAGACATTTGGGGTTGTTGTCCGGATCATCAATGTCGGCAAAGTACATGTTGTGCAAGAACTCGTTGCAAAGCTTGCGATCTTTGGTGTACCACCAGTACTGCTTCATCTGCTCTGAATAGCTGCTAGACGTGTGAGTGCAGTCGCGAAATGCAGGAATGCAATCCCCGCGGTAAAAGTACACCTTACCATCGTCATCTGCCTCGTAGCAATCTGGGGATGCTTGCAGGCACATCTCCTGCTCATCCTTAATGACATACTCAGTGCCATCTCCGCAGTTGCTGGGCGTTCCGCCAGACTTTCCGCAGGTGCCTCCGAGCATATTGCTCAGCTTGCACTTCACCTAGGAGGGGCTTTTGAAGCCTTTGAACAATATTAGTAGGTAAGATCCTCTGAGGAGACCATATAAAATGTTCCAAAGCACTACCTAGCCACCTTCTTCACGACCTTCTCGCCTTTCTCTACCACGCTCTTGGCAAACTTCATGCCTGTGCCGCCTACCTGATCCGAATAGAACTCCGCGATTTCCTGCGCGCCATTGCCGGCGAAGTCATCGATCTTGTTCAACACAAACTTGCCAGCACTGAGGAAAAGTTCAGCCCAACCCAGTCGTGCCTTGCACCTGAGTCTCTGATTGCTGAACTTGAAGATGCACTTGATGGAAGTCGCCGATCCTCCAATGTTCACTTCCGAATCGAATCCGACAGCAGCAGTGTTCAGGAAGAAGCCGATACCCATCTGCCCAGACAGTGAAATGCCGGTGTCGACGTCAACACCCACAACATCCAACAAGCCACCAATTTGCCCCAAGGTTTTCTCAACGATGGATTCCACAAAGTCACCCATGTCCGCCGAGAGGTAGAAGTAGAGCCCAGGAAGGTGGGAGGTTGCTTGGCTGTCGTCAACATGCAGTTCTTCCGTAGTGCATGCACACAAAGGTGCATGATGTGCATACTGGTTTACGTCACAGTTAATGATGCTCGCAGGCGTTCCGGGTATCACGGGGGCGCAATCGTCTGCCGTTCTTCCCGTTGAGAAGGGCGTTCCCGCATAGTTCCTTGCCGCATGGTAACTCCGGCAGGTGTATCCTGCGCTCAGAAAGGCTTCAGCCAGCTTCTCATTCGTCGTAAGTTCGGCCATCTTGGTCTTGTCGCACTCGCGGTTACCATAACCGCGGTCTGCACACACGGCATTGCACACTTGACCATTGCTGCCTTTTACCCAAACAGTTCTTTGGATGGTACTCGAGGTCGCAGCGCCTGTCCGCAGCATCATCGAGGTCGAAAACAGCTGGAAGGACAGATCAGGCAAAATGCCAGTTGTCGGTCCTGACAGAGCCAGGGTGACGTAGCCGTTGAGCACATACATGAATGTGGAGCGCTGCATCTCCTCGATGAGCTGGACCACATCACTGTTCGCTCCAGCCTGGCGCAAAATCGCAGCCGCCATGGCTGGGCCCACACGCATGGCAGATGCAAACCCGGCCAAGAGATCGGGCAAAGTCTCAGTGACACTGGCGGAAGCGATGGCTTTCAGCGGAGTCGCGAGGTCTCCGTCGTAAGCCAAGAGTGCCTGGGCCTGGAGATCACCCGCCAGGATATCGCCCAGTGTGTCATCACAGCCCAAGACTTGGCCTACAGAGAGCCTCAGGGTACCAGAAAGCCCAAGCTGACCGGCCATGGTGATGTCCTGAACCCGGATCTCATCTCCGTCCCCGTGGGCCAAGCGCACCGTCTTCGAGAACTTTTTATCCACCGAGATACCGAAAGTCAACTCAGGCAAGAAACCCACCGCTCGACTTAGAACTGGCGCCAACTTGTCAACGAAGCACTCGAAAGTGTCGGGGCTGATGGAGAGCATGAAGTTCACCTTCGTCGTGCCACACTTATTGAAGGCAAAGGCCACCTTCAGCTCAGTGTACTGATCTGCAGTGGTGGCCGATGGACAGAATAGGCTGGTGTAATAGCCTACAGTGCCCCAGTCCTCATTATCATCTGGGGAAATGAACAAGTTCCGAAGATAGGTGAGGCCTTGGTATGAATCGTACAGCTGCGAGCTTGTGCCGTACTCGTTGCCCACAATCCACGACCCCGGTCGGTCCCCGATGCAGAAGATGTAGCCCTGCAAGGGGGTCACATCCATCCAGACCTTCACAAACGTGTCAAAAAAAACATCGCCGTTACCTGGCACAAGGTTGGCAAGCTGATAGACACGATCGGTATTGGTTTCGCAAGTCCCCGTTGTGCCCATACCACAGCCCATGACCTGTGAGACTTCCAAAACGGCTGTGCGCTGCAAGAGGCGCTGGCCTGATACACAAGCCCCATCTGTCACCGGTGTCAAACTCCCCGCCACAGTGACCACGAGGCACAAAGCCACTAAGTAGCACATGATGGATGCCATCGATACGATAAGAGAGAATCTCAAGGTAAAGTTTTTGCTTTGAGCCCTTCGGCCCTTCGACGCGATGCAGCATGCAGAAGCTTCAGTTGATGGTCGTTCTGAACCCCTGAACCCCTAGTTGCGACAGGCTTCTAGGGTTCACGCCTGGACATGCGTTCAAAGGTTCAGGGTCTAGCATTCTACGCCCTACATCACGCCACCGGAGTGGCCATGCGGGCAAGGCTCATGGCTTTCTGATCCTTTTCCCGCTCGTCGATCTGCTGTTGGAGGTCTTGTGCCTGCTCCGAGCTGCAGGGCCAGCTTCTTATTCCTAAATATAGCTCATATGTATACATAGTTGTATGCGTATGTGGACGTATGAGTATACGTATATGTATGTATGTGTGTATACGTGTATATGCGTTTATGCATCTATGTTTGGACGTCGATATGCATGATTGAATGTTTGTATGCGGATATATGTATATATGTATGTATGTACAGATAAGAACATGTATTCACTCAAGTCTATATTTGCATACATACATACATATATATATATATACATATATATATATATATATGTATGTATATATATACATATATATATATATACATATATATATATATATATTACACATGAATATATATATATATATGTACATATATGCATATACGAACAAACATATGTGCATGCAACTATACACACATGCATATGCAGACATACATACATACATACATTCGTACATAACACACATACATACATACATATGTATACTGAAATAGATATATACATGTATATATATATATATATATGGTTGCGCCCCGGCGGGCCCCCCCCCCTCCCCCCCCCCCTCCCCCCTCCCCCCCTCCCCCCTATGGTATCCTGTTATAGGTACTCTGATATATTTTCATAAGTAATCGACGTGTATTCTCCCCGCCCCCCCCCCTGTGGAACGGCATGGTTTGCCTTGTCTATCCCCCCCCCTGTGGAACAGGATGGTTTGCCCTATTTTCCAACCCCCCCCTGTGGAACAGGATAGTTTTCCCTTTTGCTCTGAGACACACACACACACACGCACCATGTCTTTCTGAATGTATGGCCATTCTATCTCCCCCCCTCCTGTGGAACAGGATGGTTTTCCCTTTTTGCTCTGAGACACATACACACACACACACACACACACACACCGCGTGTCTGTGTATGTATATGGCATTCTCCGCACATGCTCTCCTGTAATGTTACGAAGTATTGCCTGGAACCCTTTTCTAAGGAATTTTACATAGCCTTGCTTGGAAATTTTGGCACACGAGTAATCTTGCTGAGTGCTGCCTAGAACATGTTGCTTAGTGCTCGCAGGAAGCCCTGCTTGGAGGCCTTCGGCGTAGGAATAATGTTACTCTGTTTTGCCTCGAAACCCTATCCTTACTGTGGAAATTACGCGGGTGCGTAGCGGGCGGGCCAAGCGGGGTACAATGCGCTGTGCGGCGCGCCTGTAGCGGGAGTCCTCCAAGCCTCCAGGGTTCAGGCTCCTGTATATTTGGGGTGGATACCATTGGGGGGGGGGGAGGGGGGGGGGGGGGGGGGGGGGGGGGGGGGCCGAGAACGCACAGCGCACAACCATATATATATATATATATATATATATATATATGTGTGTGTGTGCGTCTGCATCTGCAAGTGTGTGTAATACTGTGTATGCATGTGTAGGTATGTATCTGTATGTATATGTATATGTATATATATATATACATCCGTTTGTGTGTATGCATATATGCTTCCATGCATGCATGGATGCGCGGGTGCATGCATGTATGTATGCACGTATGTATGAATGTATGCGTGTATGCGTGTATGCGTGCTTGTGTATGTGTATATATATATATATATATATATATAAATAAATATAAATAAATAAATATATATATATATATATATGTATATATATATATATATACATATTTATAAGGTATATGTGTGTGTGTACGTGTGTATATATATATATATATATATATATATATATATATGTATATATATATATATATATATATATATATGTGAATGTGTGCACATGTGAATGTGCATATCTACATTTTTGTATGTATGCTTATGTATATATGTCTGTTTGGGTGCATGTATGCCCGTGTATGCATGCATGTATGCAAGCAGTGTGTATGTGTGCTTGTGCAGAGGTGTGTACTATTGTGTGTAGATGCGGGGATACATACATACATACATACATATATATATATATATATATATATATATATATATATATATATACATATATATATATATATATATGTGATTATGTGTGTGTGTGTGCGCGTGTGTGTTTGATACGAAAGTATATAGATATACGGCTTTCTACTTACATAGAAATACACTTTGTTTTTTGAATTGGTGTAGGTGTGCACATGCGTATGTAGCTATATGTGCATAGTATAGGGGCCTTAATCGTTAGAATTAGTTCTTGCGTATTTTCTACTATAGTTACAATAAGGAACCCCAAGACAGTATAGGTAATTATTCTGGCCCTATCTCTCCCTCTCTCTGCCGTGCCATCATCAAGGGGCCAGAATATTAGTATGTATTATCAAAGCTGTACTCGGACTATACTGTTGTTTAAGCAGGAGCATTATTGCAATCTTCGCGGTTCTTGTTGGCTCTATCGGGGCGAACAATGTGCTGTAGTTCTCGAACAACGAGGTTTAAAAGCCACACATGCGTCTACGCATGGATTCGGTACTTTGGCCATCTAACGTCGGGTCTGAAAAGACCGAATGTAAGGGCCCTATCGCCTAAAACAATGTCCCTAAACCCCCTCCGCTCCCTGAGCCCGAAACCCAAGAAACCATTGAACTCTGGCACGGACACGAGCCAGGACGTCAACAACAAATCCTAAAATCGTACCTTAACCCTATAAGACCTACCTATTTTGAGGGTTCCTTCTTATGATCTCCTTATACAATAATACAAGCCCTTGATAAGGTAGGCTCTCTGGAGTTGAGGTAAACCCTACCACCCCAGACGCCCGCCTTCCGTCTGTAGAGTGGGAGCATGTTCCGTTCTTCTCGGAGCTTCTCGATCATCTCGAGGCTCAGTCCCATGCCGGCCTGATTTAGCCTTGGTGGGGGTTTTGGAGCGTGGGGGAATTCGAGAGGGCCCATGTCTACAGGCTTTGCAAGTTCAGCTGTTGATACTTGTCTTGTGAGCACTGTCGAATGGATTTTTGGGTCCGCTGCTCCTGGAAGGACCCTCACAAGACTCACAGGTTGTTTAAACTTAAACAGTTCACCATAATCATGCAAGGTGCCGGAACACACTGTCTTGGGCTTATCTTAGTAACACCCGGCTTCTTCGAGTTTGTGGCTTCCACACTGCAGGCTGCAGAGATTGTTTTCACCCTTCACAATGTCTCTCGGCCTACTTCGCCGTTTAGAGACTTATAACTCCAGCCGGATTTCAAGCTGCAGATTTAGTCGCGGAGATCGAAGGTGCAATGTAAACCAGCAGTAAACGAGGTGGCGTTGCAGCATCTCGCCTAGTTACAATCTAGCCCACTCTGCTTTACTAGGGCGCACTGCTCTACCACAAGGTCGGTAATTTGACAGCGAAAACCAGACGGCACCGATAGCTCACTCCCATCTCATTCGTCAGAAAAGCCCGTCCCCAAAACAACAAACATATTATGCTTTCCATCTCTGAGATAAGCACTAATTACTGTCTACTGCTCTGTATATTGACATCGATTGCTGTGTTACCCCGGTATTGTGCATATCACGACTGCTGGTGCTAGGTGCCTCTATCCTGACCAGTGGATCAACTGTTGACCTTCTCTTGCCTCTCATCAGCGCCCAGGGCCGATGTCAGGGCCGGGACTAATTAGAATAGGATTTTGGTGCCCATTATACTATAATTATTAAACATAATAAGGAGCCCCCGAAATAGTACAGGTAATTATGAAGGCCCCTATATTAAACCCCTATAACAACCCTTATGGGCCCCCTTTTCGGCCCTGCACCCCGACCTCCAAGTAATGCCAGCTGCAACAGGTCGGGACTTGCTGGGATCACCAGCACCATCTTTAGAGTATAGGGTTAAGCAATTTAGGGTTAGGGTTCGAGAGTTGATTATACTCTTAGGCTTTCCCCACTTGCGCGGAGCCTTTAAGAAGGAAAAGTCTGGAAGGGACCTCTGAGTCTCGAATCTGATAGAGTGCACGTGCACGGTTGAGGCTTGGGGGTGTTGGTGCTCAGGGACAGGGCAGGCTACAGGGTTCAGGCACAACGCAGGATCAGTAATGTCAGGCATCGGCATTAGCTTGGCGGCGAGGGCGAACAGTTTGGTGTCGAATCTACCGGCTTTCCGTAAGTGCCCAGTGGCTTGACCATGGTTTGTAGAAGCCGTTCCCTCTTGTTAAGCTCCTTCGCGCAAGGACTTCAAGATCCGGGCTGAAGGCTTAAGACTTCAGGCTCTTCTGACTCCTAGATCGCCTAGGGACTTGGGATCTCAACCTCTACCTCCCATCTCGTTGGAGTCGACAGCGGGGCTTGAGTATTGTCAAGATTCATAAGTTCGAGAGCTGTGTGTTCATACCCGTGGATCGCCTAGCTCGGTATACACATGCATGACCTACACTATACAATCTCACATACATACATGCATACACATAATTATACGCTCATGTCAATAATGAATGTAACATACATCTATGTACGTATGTATGTGTGTATAACGTGTGACCTTTGAACACCTCGGATGCAAGATGGTGGTGCTAGATGGGCCGCAGAAGAAACAAGCTTCCGCCCGATGTACACGCACCCAAATTGCGAAAGATGTGCTTCAAAATCAAGCGCAGGAACCGAATGTGGAGCAGTTACACGCAAGCTTCCATCATCTTCCTTTTATGCAGCCACGGCACGGAGCAGGAAAAACCCAAGCCGGTGCTCAAAACCCTTTACCCGTGATGCTGAGATGAATTCTGTGCAAGTCTGGCTTTGACTGGTAGTGATTAGTAGTAATTACAGCTTGTGGAAGTTTAGGGTGGATGTGCCTATTGTCCGTCCCGCATCCATGCGATCCTTGTCCAAAGCCATGAGGCGAGTTCGCGCGCGGAGGTTCTCCTGCTTCATCAGACTTTCGCTCACCCGGTCTTTGCGGAACGGCTCTTGCACAATGTTGTGTCTTGCTGGCTTGGTGGCTGACGGCTTGCAGCCAGAAAGCACCATGATGACGACCGCTACAAGTGTTCCATCTTACCGAATGAGCTCTCTCTCATTCTACAGTTTACTATCACCGAGGCCCCTAAAGAAGCTGGCCTAGCCACGTCCTCCTCCCCAGCATCGTGGCAAGTGTCTGACTTTGCCCAGCTTCCCATTGGAACAGCCCATTGGGATTCGTGTTAGAACTATGTCTATGTGTGTATGTATTTATACTATATCGAAAGATGACATACTCGACTGCAAGCTTGTTGTCGTCAAGGTCTCGAGGTTTTACCCTTCCAGTCGCACCTCGCTGGTTTTGTTGATGAGGCACTTGAGCTCGGTGCACTGATCCTGCGAGGATGGCAATGTAAGGGCCTTATAATTAATTATTAGTTGTTAGAACACGGTTTTGGGGCTACAATAATATTGGTAGTTATTTGAGCCCCGATGCGGCGCGATGTGAGTTTAGACCTCCGCACCGATCGCTGCCGGATTAAAGCTCCAAGTTGTAGCGACCCCACCACCGAGCCTGACTGCCGTGCCGTGCCATATAATCTTCTTAAATACTTCCGTAAGGCCATGTGTTCCTCTGCTCCGAAACTACAGTCCTTTGCGAAATTCACCCTAAAACCCGATCGGAACCTAAGCTTGGGGTTCCTCATTATTAGTTATATATATATACACACACATAATACAGTAGAAGCCAGAAAGTTGGAACATGGGTTTAGGAGGATTTCTGCTAGGATCCCTTATCTTTTACCTTAAGAGCATGAGGATGCTAATGTTTCAACTTTCTGGCTTCTACTATATATATATATATATATCATGGACCCCAAAACCATGATTCTGGACACACCCTCGACTCCCCATGCGGCGAGTTCGCCTGAAGCTCGTCGACGGCGCGATGTGTCTTTATCGAGGAGGACCTGCTCTGGGCTTGGGACCAGGCATATAATGGGTATAAAATAGCCATATTATGGGTATATAATAGCTATATTCAGGGTATATAATAGCTATATTAAGGGTTTATAATAGCTATATTAAGCACCAGGGACTTTGCCTTGTTTGGGGGCCCTTCGGGAGGATCCTGCTCCACTACTACAAGCAGAAAAACACGGCTCCGTCCCTGAACCTCAACCCTACATTACACAAAGTCCAAAGAACACCACGATGCGTAAAGCTCTGGTTGCAGCCTCGCACGCGGGCGTTGCGCACGGGCACTTCGTGCCGGGCCGGCTGCGGGCACCCGGCCCTGGAAGGTCTCTCAACTCAGGCTGAAGATTTAGCGACAGGTCTAGAATCTGGAATTTGTCAGGGTCTGGTGCACAAGTGTTCTTTCTCTGATTCAGCATTGAGGATGTAAAGCACTTGAGGATGTAGAGCACAAGGCAGTGTATTTACTTGGAGGTACACTGACAAGATATTCCTTACTCCTGCAGGGGACGAATGTACCCGATGCAGGAAGTCTCTGCTTGCAGAAGTAAGACTCTTGAGATTCACAAGCCCCTAACCCGGAACTCTACGACATACATCCTCAGTACTCTCTATACCTGCAAACGCAAACTCCACATGGTTTCAGTCGTGAGGCTCGGAAGTGAGTCGAGCCGGGTGAACACATGACGCTTCGTGACCGTCAAGCTAACGGGCAGATTCGTAGAGAGTTTAAGATAGAGGGCCGCACCGAAAGAAAGATAGGTAATCGAATATGATAAGATGCATTGGCAAGGATGATTTGCATCTTGTTTTCGAGCATTTTGATCGAATGATGTTCATGATGAAGGTATTCAGACTTCTGGGTCCGCGTGGTGACCCGGTGACCTAAACCTTGCCTGTATCCTCGACCGGACAACCGGTTTCACAGCCACCAGGCATCTTTGCCTGCCCTAGGAGTCCAATATCGGCTTGACTGGGGCTGTCGGACAGTTTCTTGGGTTTACATTGGAGTTTTTGAAATTTAAAACATCACCATCCTGAACCCTAGCTGACGTTTCTGAGAAGCCTAAACTGATAGTTGCAGGAAGTAAGGGACCAATCTAGGCCCTCGGAATAAGGATCCGTCATATACTGCAGGGACCCCTCATCAAGAGACCCCTAATTCTAAGATGCCCTGATGTCCGAGGCAATGGACGGACACGAAAAAACCGACGAACCCCCTCCAAAACACGATACAAGCATGTCAAACCTTCATGCAAGCAACATCCTAAAACGCCCAAACCCCAAACCAACCCTTCCCTAAACCCTAAACCCCAAACTCCAAACTCCAAACCTCAAACGCCAAAACTTCAAACCAACCCTAAACCCGAAACCCCCACAACTTGCCTTCGATCCGGGAGGGCGGGTGCTGCTTGGACGGCCCGGCATGGCGCTTGGAATCGGGGGAACTCGGGTCTGCAATTAGGGTTCAGGGTTTAGGGTTTGGGGTTTGGGGTTTAATTAGGGTTTAGAGCTTAGGGAAATGCTTCGGGGGTTGGTGCCTGCTAGACTTAGTGCTCGACTGTTCAGGTTTGCAACCTGAAAGGTATGGGTAGAGAAAGAATTCTTTGTGAGAACATATTCCTTGCCCTACCTTAGCACTGCGTCTTCGGATCTGATATCATTTTGTGGGGCTAGCAGGGTCTGCGCCTGATTCGGCGAGATCCGATGAGCTCCATCAGGATTTCATGGCTCTGCCTCTGAGGGTGTGAACTCTACTATACTGAACTTAGAACCCTAGCAAAAATTACAATTTTAGCATTTTCTTAGGGATTATAATAACCAAAAATTAAAAATTATTTCTAAGTACCTCTAAGTTTAGAGCTCTCGTCCTCGAGGCTGTTGCGTGGAGCTCGACATTGTCTCGGCCAGGCTTCAGGGTGCAACCGACAGTGATATTTACATAAAGCCCTACACCGAAGAAGCCTTCTTCGGGGACTTACTACTCAGGCTCCTTTCCGATTCGCTCTCAGTGCCCCTTGCAGAGATGAGCCAGGAAGCCGGAGAGAGCAGATGTACCTCGCAGTCTAATTCCTGGGCCGCCGATAAGCCTTCAGTAATATGTCGGTTTTCGAACCAAACAAGTCTAAGATCACCAGCCCAACAACGAAGATGCTGTTGCCAGAACTCGCATCCCTTGACTTCCCCGGCTTATGACCTATGCGAAGACTCATGGAGTTGAGGCACTGTCAGTAGGACGGCTTTGTAAATAGCAGCAAGGGCATCAAGATGGCTCCTTGCTTTCTGATCTGAAAAGGAGCTGTTTGGCCCAGTGCTTGGGTGCGTGTGGTTTCGGGATTACAGAGTGTTTCATGTTTCTAGGAGCCAATATACCTCTTTTGCCAGCCTCGGCCTGAAGGGGGCGGGCTGCCTCCACCCTGCAACCTGAACCCAAGCCGTAAAGGACCCTTGCTTACGAAGTTGGAGGCTCTGGGGCAAATGCCTGAGCACAGCAAGCCGCGATGCAGTTCGCTCGATGGAAGAATCCGTATCCTCAGGAAGTTCAACCGGCCGGTCCCGGCTTGTATGGTTGGTATCAAGGCTACTAAGGAAAAGCCGAAAAGGGGATCAAACGGAGAAAGGCTTTGAGGCCTTTGAATGTGAACCCCAGGGCGATTTCGGATCAGTGCGGCCTGAAACCCAAACGGATAGTTTCTGCCCTCCTTCACATTGGACCTATAGTGGGTGCCTCGGGAAATACACGAGCTCTCAAATCCAGAATTCAGACCAAAGGTGAATTGCCAACCATAGCCTGGCCTGAACCCAGAGCCTGTCCTCTGAACTGCAAGGAAGCCCGTTACCCGTCACCAAAAGCGTCAACACCTCATTCATGCTTCCCTGGCTCGCCGGATAGAGGGTGCCCTAAACCCTCCCACAAAGGGTCCAAGTATCACTATGGTATATTTACTTCGACCCCCACAATACCCTATAAGTATATACCATACTGATACATGGACCCTTCGGGTCCCCCAACCCCTGGAAGCCCTGAACCAAAGCGCTTGGCCACCGGCCGCAATTTGACGCTGTCGCGCGTCACACTCGGAGTTGGCTGCCTCATGTGGGTGGTTGTCAAAATCATGGCCCACTTTTGGGTACCCGAAATAAAAGGTGCCGCATTTCCATAAGGACCCCAAAAGGGACCATACTTTTCAACAAACTATGTGGAACCCGGGGTTGTAGGGCCAGGCTTTTACCACAAGTCATACGATAAGCCTTACTATACGGGCTATTACTACCTGAACCTACCAAAACCTGCCTCTTTGTAGGTTCTTAGTAAAAACCCTAATATGGGATGTAGAAGGGACCCTACAAAAAAGGTAGGTTCTGGTGGGTTAAGGCAGGGCTGGGACTCTGCGGGGCGAGGATGGTTCGGTTTCGGAAGGCCAGCTTGGCTGCAAGCCGGTTTCAGCCCAAACCCTAAACCCTTTTTGCATCCAGGCCCCCTAAACCCCTAAATCCTAAAACCCCAAAACCCTAAGCTCAACAGTCTTAGCCGCTTTAGGGCTTGGGGGGGGGGGGGGGTGGTCGGGTTTAGGGAAGTAAGAGCCCCAATCCGATCATATCCCTGAGGGCTTAGGGTCAACAGCGGGCTGTAAACGGTAGGCCCTACTTCGGCTTCGGTTGATGATATAAATCCTGCATTGCCTTAAGGACCCTGAACTACGGCAATTATGGTATAGTCCTGAATATGGGTCATGCAGGATTTATATCATCAACCGTTGCGATTCCGTGTAAGGCCAAGCCCTCTTGAGCCTCAAGGCGTATGAACCGCTGGGCTTGTCCCGGCAGGGCACTGAACCCTGACCTTTGAAAACGTAGCGGTACCTAGTTGTTCGCCGAGCCCTGTACACTCATTTTTGAAGCTTTACGAACTCCTTCATTGTTGAGGCTACATGAGCTCCTTCATTTGCGCGCGGTTA